GAAGAATTGTTGGTCGTATCACAATAGAAATAACTCAATAGTACCATAGAGTATGGAACCCCCGCAAATTATCACCAAGAGCAGCCACCCGCGCAAGGGCGAGAGCTTCCACTCGAGAACCTATCGGCGGCTCTTTTGTTTTGTGATTATGCCCGTCGCCGCGTTGGTTACAATGGCCGTTCATCACTCACAYGGAAGACAGTACMTAACCGAAGTGACCTATCTMAATGGAGAATCAAGGGCAAAAGAAACTGGCAGCTCTTTCGAGATGATGGGGATCACCACTCCTTCCRACGATGCCAWGATTGAGCAACAGCGAAAGGCAGAGCACCAAGATTTTCTAGTCTTAGCAAAAAAAACAAACACTGATAAGGTGAAGGGCTACACCGAGCTGCCCAAGTGCCTTGAAAACAATAGCACGTGCCTTTACAGCACCGCTGAGCGTCCTTCTTGTCGTCCCTGGGGACACTWTTATGACACCATGTACAATCGATGGCTTGGTGAGTACTCGACGCCAGATGCCAAGCCAATTCAATTCCTGGAGATTGGCTTCTACCAAGGCTGGGGTTTTGAGGCATTTTCCAACTTCTTGCCGACGGCCGAGAAGCATTCGATGGARTATTCATGCGCCGAGCCCGGACCCTTTAAAGAGGGAAAATGGCCGTATGAAAACCCAGCCCAAAAACACAGCTGGTATGAAAGCCTCCTGAAAGGCAACCGGTTGCACTGCGGGGATGCCAGTAGCTACAGTTTTTTGAAGAAGACATGGGATACTTATATGAATCGTACCGACGCTCCCCCGCTGATGGTTGTCATAGACGATGGGTCTCACTTTGCTGACCACATGGCGACATCGCTCTTTTTCTGGTTCCCCCGCATCCAACCTGGTGGCATACTGGTGGTTGAGGACATCCAGCCCATCAGCATGGCCAATAAGTTTCGGACCCACATCGTCCCGCAGTTGATGAAGGATCTTCACTGGTGTGGAGGGGAGGGRAAGGCTAGTGTCAAAAATGATCCCCTCTGCTTTCCAACGATTTCTCCTCTCCTGCAGGGCATTCACTGCGAGATGCATATTTGTGTTTTTGTMAGAAACAATGAACCGGCCTATGAGCCTACCGAATTGCTTTCAAAGATGCCTCCCAATGCATTTAAGGGAGCTCAAAAGTGCCTTTTTGGGCCACACAACTAAGTATTAAMACTTYTYTGAAGTAATCCTCTTAACTTTCGCGACCGATGTTTTGCGACAGACACCGGGGAAGATGAATTATATTGAGTCGAATTGTAACCTTCCGTGTTTTGTAACGAATGGAAGGAGGTTTCGTTGACACAACAACTACTTATTGAAACTACGTTGCGAAATGAGTGCGTGGTTTGTTCCCTAGGATCGAATGGCAACAAAGTTCAAATATTTGATTCGTAGTGACAATATGGCCAAATACTAGTTGCTACTGCTGCTTGCCGCGAGAATGCAGCCGTTTGATTGAAGGGACTTGTGTTTGCGTCTGTGCTTCTTTTCAACTCTTCCGCCCACGCTCCTTTYGTTCCAACCGGAACTCGAGGGCCCATCCGTTCACTGGGGCATGGATCTTCGTCGGATTCCTTGTCTCGATGGTGTAGTGCATAAAGATCCGGGCCAGGAGAATCCGCAGCTCCATCTTGGCAAAGTTTTTCCCGAGGCATACGTGGGTCCCTCCCCCGAAGATGGGGTAGTCGGCCCTGCCCTGGGCGGGATCTACGTCCGACTTCCAGTCGGGATCATAGAGAGGATGGCCTTTCGGCAGGAATCTCTGGAACCGGAATGAGTCCGCAGACGGGTAGAGGTTGTCGTCTTGGGTGGCCAGGTTGATGTTGTAGTTGAAGACGGTGCCACTGGAGAACCGGTAACCACAGAATTCCAGCGTACTTGGTTTTTTGCTGCCTGGCCTGTKGTTCGCGATGAATTTTCGAAAACCGGCCGAGATAGGTGGGGACATGCGCCAGGCTTCGTGCATTATGGCGTTCAATATCGGGGCTTCGTTCTTGAGCTTGTCGTACTCCAGTGGTTCCGCAAAGGCGGAGACCTCCTCCTTTAGGGCCTCCATGGCAAACGGGTCGTGTGTCAGGTAGTATAGGACGGTGTTGATCGATGCGTAGGTGGTGTCGTGGCCCGCAAAAATCAGCAGAATGAGATTATCCAGGATTTCGTCCGTAGTCAGCCCTACTCCGTCGGAAGTTTTGGAGTAAACCATTTTCCCCATGACAGTGGTTTCGGCCAGATGGGACCCCTYCGGGTGTTCCTCGATGAATTTAGCCAAGAGAATGCGGCAGGTGTCTTGCATCCGCTCCCGGGCCTTCATGGCGTCATCGAAGGCCATGCCAGGAATCCGCAGAGTTCCGGTTACCAMCACAAAGCCCTGGATGTATATCTTCGTATCGTCGTGGAGCGATTTGACCACCGCCTCATCGACCTCGCCGAAGCTTGCCGCCAAAAACAAGCGTAGTGCGTATAGCTTGAAGACCTCTCCAGAGACAAAGGAGTTTCTGTCGCTGCTCGTCATCGAGTGCCATCTCGAAAGTTCTCCGTCGGTGGTGGTGGTTATTACCGAGGCGTAGTTTTGGACAACGAGCGGTGCGTAGAAGGGCTCCATCAGCCGACGAAGGGCCCGGTGGTGCCCCCCGGACGCATTGGCGGCCGAGTTGGGCCCCAGCAGCGCCGAAATGTTGGGCGGCCACGCCACCTCTGTCGTCGATTTGCGGTCCTGGTTCCATACCCATGAAATGCCCGCGCTGTCTGCCAGCGTCACTAGCCTCTGATTTAGGACGGTCGTGAAGAAGACATCGGCGGCAGATTTCGACCGCGATTTCCTCAAGGTTTTTCCCTGTTCGATTAGGTGGAGGAAGATGACGCCGTTGTGTTTAAAGATTAMTTCGAGGATGTTTCCCAGAAAGGGGATCCCGAGGGATCCGGGCGGAAGATAGGGCAGAACGCAGAGCAAAAAGCGTAGTTCCTGGACCAGAGCGTAAGTCCCATATGCAGCTACCAATAGATTGATCGGAAGGGAATATCGAAAGTAGGAATYACCATCGTCGGACTCCGAATCGGAGGGAGGATCGTTCCAGGATTTTGCCGCAGATTTCAGGGCGTGGAGAACAACGGCGCTATAGATGATCGCTTTGAGACAATCGTTTCCCAAAAGGGTTGGCCTCCGAGCAGGGCTACCATCTACCGTTCGGTTCGCTTTCGTCTGACCTTTTCCTTCCATCGTWRCTTCGTCCTTCGTTGGGTGGAACATCTAGTCGATCCAATGATTGTAATATTATCGTTGCCAATAAAGTCGGAATGAAAGAAGGAGCGTTGAACGAATCGCTTCTTTCTGGTGCGTGTTCGATCAGTACAAGTACACTTATTGCAGCTTGGTTTCGGTGGGAATGGCGAAAAGAAGTTTGTGGTCGAAGTGCGTCGAAAAGGAAACATAAAGTTTATCTCATGCCTTTTTCGATTAAGATCACATGCGCATAGGTTTCATCAATTATGGGTGCGTACCAGGTACTCTATCATTGCCGAAGAAACATCATCAGTAAAGAATTTGGTTCCTCTGTTCAGCCACGATACAGTGAAACAGGTAACAGGTACGTAACTTGTAAACGTCATCGTACGAACAAAATAACGTCACAACAGTCATGAAAATATTATGAATTATGAAAAACAACTTGAATCAACTCAAATATGTGGTGGCGAAAACTTCTAAAAAGTTTTGTTTTTAGCGCCGGGCAGTCGGGGGAAGTAGAATTCGTATGTGATCCAAAATGCAACGAAAATGAGAGATCGCTTAAAATCGAGTCATTCAGATGTAGGACGTAACAGAAAATAATGAGTCCTACAGTATCCGGTATTAGAATACCGCTAGGTGATATCAACAATTGCCCAGTGTTCTTCCGATCAAGCTTATGGGAAGCGGATATTGAAGTTACAGATCGATTCCTGCCCGGTGGTAACGGTGCTTCATACTCGTACCTACACATATCGTACCTACACATAGTAACATCATACAAAAGATGCATTCGTACACAGGGACGATCTTCGAGCATCCAACGGTCGGAAAAGTAACCGTTTAGTCATCAAAATTTTACTTTTCTTGTAGTATTATTGTACTACTCGACACGTACATTATCGTAGATTAAGTACGAGTACTACTACAATCGTAGCGTAGTCGGTTCGTATCATACACTGCCAGGTTCGTACTCGTACGTACCGCTACGCAAGGTAAATCTTTTTTTTCTTTGATCTGTACGATCTGTAGAAGGACAGTGACGAAGGTGTGGCTAAGGAAATAATAAGATGTAACATACCTTTCATACCGTACGACATCGTACCATACTGCAGGGTTCGTACCAAGGACCAAGCATCTAGCATGTACTACGGTAGCATGAGACCTTCCCTGCTTGTTGCCTCTGCCACGAACTGGATGAGCCATCGCCGCCATCGTTGTTATCGCCCTGTCTCTGTCCTTATCCGGTTCCTGTCCCTCCACTCTCTTGTTGGCACGAGNGCTTTGAGACAATCGTTTCCCAAAAGGGTTGGCCTCCGAGCAGGGCTACCATCTACCGTTCGGTTCGCTTTCGTCTGACCTTTTCCTTCCATCGTAACTTCGTCCTTCGTTGGGTGTAGCATCTATTCGATCCAATGATTGTAATATTATCGTTTCCAATAAAGTCGGAATGAAAGAAGGAGCGTTGAGCGAATCGCTTCTTTCCGATGCGTGTACGATCAGCACAAGTACACTTATTGCAGTTTGGTTTCGGTGGGAATGGCGAAAAGAAGTTTGTGGTCGGAGTGCGTCGAAAAGGAAACATAAAGTTTACCTCATGCCTTTTTCGATGAAGATCACGTGCACAAAGGTTTCGTCAATTACGGTTGCGTACTCTACCATTGCCAAAGAAATATCATCGGTCATGAATTTGGTTCCTCTGTTCAGCCACGATACTGTAGAACAGGTACGGTACGTACCTTGTAAACGTCATCGTAACAGTCATGAAAATAGTATTATGAATTATGAAAAACAACTTGAATCAACTCAAATATGTGGTGGCGAAAACTTCTCAAAAGTTTTGTTTTCAGCGCCGGGCAGTTGTGGGAAGTAGAATTCGTATGTGATCCAAAATGCAATGAAAATGAGTGATCGCTCAAAATCGAGTCCATACTAGGGTACTTGGTACTGTACAACTAAGACGTAATGTACGTGAGGTACCAAAAACAGTAAAAATGAGTCATACAATATACAGTATAGGAACACACTTCAATGATATCAACAATTGCCCTGTGTTCTTAGCGGATATGGAAGTTCCAGATCGATTGCTGCCCGGTGGTAACGGTGCTTCATACTCGTACCTACACAAAGTAACATCATACAAAAGATGCATTCGTACACAGGGACGATCTTCGAGCATCCAACGGTCGGAAAAGTAACCGTTTCGACATCGTACCATACTGCAGGGTTCGTACCAAGGACCAAGCATCTAGCATGTACTACGGTAGCATGAGACCTTCCCTGCTTGTTGCCTCCGCCACGAACTGGATGAGCCATCGCCGCCATCGTTGTTATCGCCCTGTCTCTGTCCTTATCCGGTTCCTGTCCCTCCACTCTCTTGTTGGCACGAGTACTAGCAYACACTCCGTAGATACTGTAACCGCCCCACGCATTCTTTCATTTGGAAGAAACAGTAACTGTTGTGATATCCGAAACGCCAACACCACCCGCCCCGTCGACATTGGCATTGGCATTGGCAGTGACGTTCACATTGAAACCAAGTCCAAAACCATCGATAGGATCGTTACCATGAGCGACGAAAAGAAAGACTCCGATGCCGTCATGGCMAACAGCAACAACGAAGAAGACGACAGTGATGCCGAAGCCGAGGCATTTTTGAAACAGCTGGACGCCAAGGCGGCTGCAGAAGGTGCTGCTTCCGATCCCGATCCCGCCAAGCCGGGGAGCGGCTGGTCCAACGGAGACATATCACAGCAGATGTTCCCCTCCACCCGCAACGGAAGGCTGGAGTTGTACGCCTCCAACCGCCGCTGGATCGGTCTCAACAAGGGCTGGTCCCGGGTTGGCGGGGACGATGGCGGGGGCAAGACCACCGACCAGTACTCCCACCGCACCCGCCGGTCCTCCCAGATGGGGAGCCTCCTGAATCTTTCTTCGAGTTCGTCGTCTACAGAGAARGAACGCAAGAAAGCTATGGACGACGAAGCCAGATCGGTTCGGTGCCTGATCGCCCAGCTGTCGGAGACCTTTTACAACTTCGGCTGGTCCGCCGGAACCGCCGGTGGGRTTTCGATCCGGGTGGGAGGGCCCTCCGAAAACCGTCCCTTTCGGGTCTTTTGCATGCCTTCGGGCATCCAGAAAGGTGAGTAGCATGGTGCGAAAAGCATAGCGCAGGGAAGGGAAGCGATTGCGTCTGCTTGTGGTTGTGGTTGTGGTTGTGCTAAAAACTTTTCTTGCAAACGAAACATAGTACCAATTGCGATATTTGCTCTTTGGTCCGAGATTAAATTTCTATCGCGATCTTATGGTATTGGTAAACTGCTTTGCGTTGTACAATTGTGTATTTTGCCATTCATCGTTGTCCCTGGATTCYCGCCCGAACGACCCATCACCAACCAATGGATACACAATCAATAATTGATGGATCAATCAATGCAACAAATACAAAACAAAAACGATGAATGCAATCGCTATCACAACTACAAAAACGACGTCGACGACGACAACAAACCCAGAGGACATGATCGGAGACGACCTCTTTGAGCTGGACATGGACCAGAACGTCGTCCACGGCCCCAAAACGGAAGGCCTCCGGYTGTCGGCGTGCAACCCCATCTGGTACTGCATCTTCAAGCATCGTCCCWCGGCCATGTGTGCCATTCACACCCATGGAATGAACGCCAAGCTGGCCACCCTGCTGGACCCCACCGAGCAGTCGAAGACGCTCAAGCTCACCCACATGGAAATGCTCAAGGGAGTCGGGGGCCACGCATACGACGACATTTTGGAAATACCTATCCTGGACAACCGACCCTCGGAGGACCTGCTGCAGCCCCAGATGGAAGARGCCCTCAAAAACTACCCGAACGTCAACTGCGTCCTGGTCCGGCGACACGGATTGTTTGTCTGGGGTGATTCCTGGGAACAGGCCAAGACACAGGCGGAATCCTTTGATTACCTCTTCGATGCTGCCATTGGGATGAGGAAGATCGGCGTGGACTTTTCGGCCATCCCCCCCGGTGGAACCTTTCGCACCGATTTCGACGAATACCACGGAACCACAACGAACACGAAGCGGGACGCGGCCGAAGCCGGTGGAGAGCAGCCCCCCGCGAAGCGCTCCAAGGCCAGTGAGGAAAAGACTGCTGCTGCCACTTCTGGTGGAAGCAGCAACGGCTGGAACGCCGCCGGAAACGTGGACAACCTGGACGACCTCAAGGCGAACWCTATTCCGCTGCTGCCTCGGGATTACAAGTACCTGCTGCTCGACATTGAGGGCTGCACGACCGCTATATCCTTTGTCAAGGACGTCCTCTTCCCCTATGTCGTCGAACACGCCGAAGCCTACATCTCCAAAAACCTTGGCGACGAGGAAAAGGATGCCCTATCTGCCGCACTCACGAAGGACCTGACTCCCGAGCAGCGAAYCGAATCCGGGGCCGAGGCACTCGCACCGGGTGCCAATCCAGCCTCCATCATCAAGTACATGGTACAAAACGACCTCAAGGTCGCCTCACTCAAGTCCTTCCAGGGCAAGATGTGGAAGGACGGTTACGCAAACGGGACCCTGAAGGGACACGTCTACGATGATTTTGTCCCAATGCTGGACTGGATGAAGGCCCAAGGCGTCAAGGTATACATCTACTCGTCGGGAAGCGTCCAGGCCCAGAAACTCCTTTTTGGAAAGTCTACCAAGGGCGACCTGTGTGGCTACTTCAGCGGACACTTTGATATTACGACTAGCGGCAACAAGAAGCAATCGGGAAGCTATACCAACATCTGTGCCGACCTGGGCATYCCCCCGTCGGAGCTGGTCTTTTGCTCCGACGCTGTGGCCGAGCTAGTGGCTGCCAAAGAAGCCGGTGTCGGAAAGTGCATCATGACGGTCCGSCCGGGAAACGCCCCGCTGTCCGAGGAGGATGCCAAGGCGCATCCACAGGTCTTCTCCCTGCTGCAGCTCTGTGGCAGTGGGATGTAGTAGATGCAAAGCAATGCGATCCGATCCAATGCAATACATGGAACCCGAAAGGAATAGTATAATGGGAATAGAATCATTTGCAAACGAAGCGCCAAGCAAACAAGCAAAATAAATTTGATAAGGCTCTAGCGTTTTAAAATTAATTGGTGTTTCCAAACAAGGACGTAGAGAGCTGACAGATTTGATGATTTACCAATGAAATAATACGACATTCCTCAGTATYGCGCAAAAGCTATCAATTATGACACCAGATCAATTCCTGACCTGAGAAAAAAAACGTCTCTTTGSTTGAGACCGAAGTTAGACCAGAACAATACACATTACACATTACACATTCTGCTCCCTGATTCATGAATATCTAGGACTGAGGCTCGACAGCTCAACCTRTCATTATAACAAAATCTAATCACCAATCACGGATTAGATTTGTTGACTTTTCTTTCTCTCAATTGAATAGCACTTCCACCATTTCAACTAGTAGTAGCATTCATATTAGCTTTCATAGTTACAAATACTTGTACTTGAATTTTCCGCAAGATTTTTTTGAGAAATGTCCATTCCTATGTTCAATAAATAAATATGTATCGTAAGATTGCAGTGTGGTGAAGTAGAAGTAATGCGCGACTACCTCGTTTCACTCAGACGTGCGAGTTGTTAATGCTGTGCTCGTCCGATCAAAAATCGGCGCGAAGCAGGATTTAAACTATTCTTCTACCAAGCATGTCAGACTTTTTTCGCTTTAAATGGGTGGAATCTTCTTCTATTCGATATCCTTTGGACACTTTTTTGMGGCTTTCGTGCAAATAGAAAGCAAGCAAGCTGAAAGCATACCGTAGCAAACACACTTTCACTGTCACAGTGTGATACCATGCMTGAAATTGTTGTCCGTAAGAATTCCCTTAATTTGTCCCCTGCAAAATCCGGTACTAGGCAATAGAGAGGAGTTATTGGTTATTGTACGGTACTGTACGTTATGATCCACATCCTGTAACATACCTTACCACTGCATTTCGTACTGCTCTGTTCTCTGATACTGTCCTGAATCATAGCGTATGTTCAATCTATGAGCTAAGTCATCCTGGCCGTGAATCGAATGCTTTCACTAAAGGGCATGTCAGCTAAAACGGAATAAAGCGAACTGAAGCACTTAAAATCAGAGAGGGACTGTTGTTGGTTCCCTTAGGAACCGGTACATGCGCAAGTGGGAATACGGCATTCATTCGAAAGGTCTTTTCACTTGCTCAGAACTTCGAACATTCTATTGTTTGTCTTCGTCTCTTTTTTAAAGAGATCAGCTGCGTACAGACATATTCATAKTTTGAATGGAACACAGCATAATTAATGCATGAAACACTCTCTCACGCACACGACTCGAGAGAGAAAATGAATGAGGAGGATGATCACTTCGCTGTCGACAGTTTGTCGCCCTCGGCATGTTCCTCCCTTCTGAAGCACAACGGCAGCAACTTGCTGAATGAAAGTGCTACCACGGCATCGTCTGCATCGTCATATAACGCTCACAACCTGGTTGRGTGTAGAAGGAACTATCTAGCCAAGAACTTTCGAAAAAACGACATCAACACAGCCAATTCAAATATGAGTTCAAAAAATAACCAGTCAGTCAGGAGAAAGAATAATCTCCAAAACATAATCAACTCCTTGAAAAGGGATGGCAGCAAGAATAGCAGGGGAAAGTCAAAAGCGCCTTCGTGCTCGGGTGATGTCAACTCAAGTTTCCATTCGAATACGAACTTTAATGCCAACGCTATTTCCAGTTCAAACGTGGAAAATTCTATAAGGTCTTCTGCGAGGTCCGAAAACAAAAGCAACTGCCAACTGCAACAACGTATCGGCAACCGCAGCAGCCAAACATCTCGTTCTATGTTTCGTTTAATTTGCAGCGACGATGCCAAAAACGATGACGACTACAAGGACATGGAAGCATGTGACTACGACAACAGCATGTACAAGTCAGACGATGTTTCCAGTCTCCATTTTGATGAATACGGTTACGATGTGCCGCTCCAATCACGTCAAATAGACGATTCAAATGACCAAGACGATGATGACGTTAGCGATTTTTTTAAGGCCCCCACCCAATGGGAGCTATCGGCCGAGATCTTTCGACTATTGGAGCCCAACGTAGAGGTATCAGAAGCCCTCAAATCAATAGGAAAAATAAAGATGTGGGGGTTGGTCGCCGAGAGCGATCCCATCACGGCCAAGAATTTTGTGGAATATAAAGTGGTGTCAACGCTCTTGATTTTTGTTCAATTCTTGGTAAAGATACGGAGGAAACTCAAGAATAAACATCGGCAACACGTGTCTGAGCATGAACAAAAGTATGGTKTAAAATGCAGCACCATCAAGGACTACATGGACGGCATTGACGACGAAGTATTGATCAGCAMACACCATCGAGACTTTGTCGATGCTTCTGCCAACATTGAATTGAGTCTTCACCAAGCGATGCAAGTAATTCACTATTGTGTGTGCTTGGACGACGATAGCAGAGGCGACAACAATTCCAAAAGTAATTCACACTTGGCTCCGTCCGTAAAAGAAGCCTTTGTAATGCAGCTGGTGGAGACCGATGGCGTCGATATCCTTGTCACCCTCCTGGAGGAACTGCTGGCCGATCAGATGGATCGAATGATCTCTACAAACCCCTCTTGCTGTGATAACGATCCATTGTCGACAGCGGCTGCCAACTCAAATATTACTACTTGGGACACTACGATTGGCCAGTACGGACACTCGATCTCTAAATCGATCTGGGGAATACTKATGTCCGTGGGGACATCCGAGACTGCTGTTCGGGTTTTGAAACGGACTAAAAAATCGTCATTATCTTCCACATCTTTAACGGGAGATGGCTCCATGGCTCAGCAGCTGCTGGCAGGGATTTTGATCGGCCTGAACCATCGGTTTTATGTGGAAAAATTCTACCGTAACTGCGATTGCCCAAACCGGCTGGAGTTTTATCGTTCCCAGTGCATCATGCCGAGTGACTTTGGAAGAAGCGTAGGCAACGGAAACAAAAACAACAATTACTTTACAAATTTCTCTAACTCGTCTTGGATGGAAGATTTGTTTGTAGCCCTCTGTCGGTTGGTCGGTTCGAAACACGCGGACGACGAAAATGACGATTGCCATACCGATTGCAGTGGCGAGGATCATCTGGGCAAAAGCAACGATCCAAGCAACTACGGTAACAATAATTGCAACGAAAACAGAGCGCCTTATGCAAACAAACCCCACAGGAATAGTCATATAGCAAGCACAGAGATGCCGCTACGGAGACAACACGACGAAATCCGGTTTGTGGTCATTGAGCTCTGTCTTGTTAAGAAAACGCTGAAGGCACTSGTGGACGAACCCAACGCGGTCCTCGGCCGAGACCCATTCGTTACGACACTTGCAATGTCTTTTTTTTACGCATGTCTTCGTTTCGGAATCCTGCGGTACCCACAACTCAGGAAACAACAAGAGAACGAACAGCAAAGAAAAGAGGGCGCTGGCAAAACCACAAACCCTGGCAAACGACCTCGTGCGGAAAGAATGGTGTCGAGGTCTCTTGATTACGACCGCTTGGTTCATTTTACGGTTACGAGTCTCCAGAGCTTTCCCTCGCATCCTCTCATACAGGGCAATGGTTGTCTCATTCTGGAGTCGATCCCCAAGCCTTACAAGCTGTTATGGATGAACCACCCTGTGATGAACTCGACTAAAAATTCGAATGTGAAACACTTGCTATGTCCCAATTCGTCCTCGGACTCCGCAGCTCCGCCGGCTGATGTTTTGTGTTCTCCCAGCATTGTATACAATTGCCACTCCAGAACAGCCCATGGCCGTTTGCCCCCCATCTTGAAATTCGAGCCTCACCGGAAATCCCTGGCATCATCGTTTGTGGGTAAGGTTATAGAGCCCTGCAGCTGGTATTGCCCTACCACAGCTTCATGATGACTGATAGGCACAGAAATTGCAAGACTCGCCCCGTATACGAGCATTACACGTAGGTATTCAAGAGGTACCAAAAAAAGAAAAATAGCACAATAGCGCTACCAAATAATATAGAGTTTTACAAAGGCTAGCATTTATGGTTAGCATGTGTTTGTGATCCGGTGATTTATCTTGGACGGCATGCTAGGATTGATGACAAGGTACGGTACATTTGTGTAAATACGCACCTACCGTTACCACCTTTTCCTTTCGTCAGGAGTAACCATTTGATGAATCGCATAATGTACTCCAGTCGCGGTCGATCTCGTTCAGGCATGATGTGTCTTCACCTTTTTTTTTATTTCTCCTTACTTCAAGATCGATAAATTGGCTGTCTAGATCCTCTAGGTTTCATATGGTTTTTAGAAAACGTGGTTGCTCAGAGGTCGAAGCWACGAYGACRCYWTGTTCGAAAGTGTCTASSTAGACCACGTGGTTGCTTGATGGTCGAAGCTACGACGACACCATGTTCGAAAGTGTGTACTCAGAACTGACGAATGCTTCGACGTAGTCAGCATTTTTTATTCAGAATGCAATTGACATTTTTCATTTCATTACGTTAATGTTTAACATTCTTCTTACAAAACCCGTCGATGTTTTCTATTCTTCTTACGGGGGACTCACATACAAAACCTAGTATTGGTCGACTATTACAGTAAGTAGTGTCCGACAAATTTCTTTTCTAAATAAAATCTCTTGAATACCGTCGGTTTTGATGATAAACCCCACGAGCTCTTTCTATGTTATTTTCCTTTGTTGATTGATTGATGTGGCGTACAGTACAACCTTCATCGGTTAAGAAGGGGTACGGTACGGTATTGTAAACTGGGTTTGAAAGAATACGAAATCATACAATGATAATTTAATTTTCTCTGCGGATAGGAATACATTATCTCTATTCTTTTTTCATAGAATATTCGTAATCTTGCCTACGATCAAATTTGAATTGCCATTTTGTTAACATTGTAGTTCGTTACCGAATGATATTTTCATCGGTAGACACGATTAATCCATTCTTGTCAGTTCTTTTCCCCTGGTATCAAAATTCTTCTCCCCCGAATTTTTTCATACATCATGTCAACGATAGTACGTATTGGCCCAGGCCGTTACTGTACATCTAAGCTACTGAAAAGTACAGATGATACTACGTTTTTTTTCACACCACCATCCGCTACCTTGTCACGCAAAAGAATAAAATCCTTATCAAGATATTTTACTGAAAAGAATGTCAGTTATTTCACGATCTCATCATGATTCAGTATCAATACTGAAATTATCAATCAAATAMGGCTTATCAAACAAAAATAAKCAATAGGCAATTATACACAATGGAAGACAGAAGTTGAAATTTTTTCACTGTACTAGTAAGTGGTACGCTCACGATAAGAGTTCAAAATGTTATTTTATTTRCGTATATGCACTTGTTCTTACGTTGTGTCAATTCTGACAGAGAGAAAGCCTGAGGTTTTCTTTGGCCACTGAATACCATAAAATCACAACCCAAACTTCCCAAAACCTTTCAGTCTTTGTTTTCTTTTTTTTCGTAGGATCGACTGCTCATCAATTACAAGAAAGATGAAATTTTTCACTACCTTATCAGCTACCTCCTTGGTACTTATTTTCGAGAGTCTTCTACTCCAGTCCGGAGCTGAACCGGTGCAAAAGCTCTATTCCAAGACCGAATACCTCGCTAGTGATGTATGCGAATCCGCATCCGACGAAGAAACCTGTACCAAAACAGATCTATTTGACCAGCTTCACTCATGCGAGTGGGCGTTCGGAAAATGCTTTCTGATGGTGGAAGAAGATATCTGTGAGTTCGGTCATAACAACTCCGAGGAGTCCTGCAATAAATCCTCAGGTTGCGCTTGGCTCACACCCGAACCTGGGCGCCCTGGGGAGGGAGAGTGCCTCTCATACAAGAATATCAATTCAAGAGGCTGCAAATTCAGTACCTCCTCTAGAGTCTACTCGATCAAGGATAAACTCAAGTGCAACGACATCAAGGGCTGCGCATGGTACAGTGGCAACGGAGGGAAGAAGACCTGCCAAGTTGCCCCATCACAAATTGAGTGCCAGGCCATCGACAACAAGAATGCCTGCAAGAGTAGTGGCTGCGACTGGAAGAAAAAAGGCAAGGTCTGTCAGGGCCGATGGGAACCGAAATTTCTCCACTTTTTGGTTGGGAAGGATKCAGAGCACGCCAAGCTGGCCCTCAGGGCGGAATACGGCGAAACCTACACCGTTCACGTGGAGGAGCCCCAACTGCATGTGCCCGAACGAATCACCCTDGTGGTAAACGATTCCAGCGTTGTGGTAGAGACACCACAGTTTGGTTAATTCCATTCATTGATCGAATTCCGCGCTCTCCCATTGCGTTTTTCCCTTCTAGGGATTCGAGCCCCAATGCTCCCCTGTACACTATTTTTTATTCTAGAGCAATAATTTTTACCCAACACCRAAACACTTTTGAAAAAGCCAGACTACTACATTTAGTCTTATCTTTTGGGTATTGTAATATATGCATGAATTCGAGTTCAGACTCCTTTGAAGGAGGATGAGAAGCGTTTCCATTTGCAGCCCGTAATTTGGTACGCAGAGACTTTCTCGATACAACAGCGGTGAAAGCACTWTCAAAACGAAGAGGGAGAGAGGAAGAAATCAAATTATAGCTGTGAAAACAAACCTGCATGCCATGAGGTCCAGCCACTTCTTTAGGCCATGCTGGGCTAAACTATGCAGCGACTACCGCCAGCGACTGCACGGCCTTGACTAGAAATGCAGTCAGCCCAGCCGTAGCAATAAGGGTGGGGATTGACCCCAGCTTTGTTGGAAAGAGCGACGGAACCGCTTTCTTCCAGTCCTCGTAGGCTGYTTGGCCACCGTATTTGTCGCCCTGTTTCGTCTCTAGGCGGCCCGTGGCACCGGTCATGATCGAGTATATGGCTCCAAAACCCAGAAGCGATGTGATCCATGCAATTGCGTTGGTGCCTAGCCCAGGAGAGCCGCCCACCAGAATGCCCAACCAAAACACAATTTCTCCAAARTAGTTGGGGTGGCGGGAGAGCCCAAACCAGCCAGTAGTGGGMCCCGAAAAGTCCTTCGCTCCGTCTCTCCCCTTCTTTGCGTGAAACTTTTGTTGATCCGCGATGCCTTCGATGACAGCACCAGTCCAGGCCATGCAGGCCCCCGCAGCCGCGACTGGGTGGAGATGACCACTGACATTGGCAGAACGGCACAAAAAGAGGGCGGGGCTGGCCATAAATGCGTACACGAGGCTCACCGCTGCCGCAAAGGGGATCCGYTTTGGGAGCGAAGTTTTGTCGAACGACTTGATCTGCTCTCTCTTGGAGGGAACCGTAACCTCCCGKGCCAACAAAAAGAACCCGAGTCGGAGCCCATATACAATAAGCGCCGACACCAGGAGCAGCGGCGATGAGTTGCCCCCGCGACTCACCGCAAACAGGRTATCACGAAACACTGCCAACAGCGCAAGCCCCATGGCMGCGACGCTAAGGCCGTATCCCACCGAGAAGGAGTAGGCCTGCCGGTAGAGCGTCAGTGGGGTCACGGCGCAAGAAGCCACCACTGTTAGCGCTAGAACGGCGCCAATGGTGGAGCCGCTCCTTAGGGACGACGCCAAGGCGGAGGTAACTGCTACTGGAGCTGCGATGGCCCCCCCACGGAGGGTTCCAATCAGTCCGCTCGTGCCCATATGGAGTTTTGTCTTACTGGAACTGCCGCTTTCGCACCTCGGTGGTTGTCGATGGCAACGATGGCTGCAGGTGGGGACCACAATACGGAGCGATGGAAGCTGCGAACGAAGGGCGAAAATCTCCGATGACCTGGCGATAGGATGGAACGATTGCAATCCTAGGACAGCGGCAGAATGAAATGGCCCAAGCAAAAGCAACAGGAGCAAGCCACTAGATTTTGTTCCAGAACGTTGTATCATTCTCCGGTGGGGTAAACTTCGCAAGGAGACGAGAAGTGATGTGTTCTACTATTGAAGTGAAACAAGAGATATTATGTGAGGTAACGTACCAGTAGAGTACTGATCGCTTCCAATAGATRATACCGCGATCTACGTTTGGATGGGGCTGGGTTGATTTTGTTGTGTTTTGTTGTGTTGTGTTGATTGAGACCCATCGTGTCAAAACCAGGTGTCAGCCAAACACTGACATGCGGTACGAAAAGGTATCTTTGTAAAACATCGGGGGCTGCCAAAAAGTTCTTAGTCGGTTACGTGTTTTTTGAACTGCTGTTTCTGGTTTCTGAGACGCAGTAATTCAACTTCATCCGAAGTATTTTTACGTACACTTCTTGTATGGAAGTTCAAAAACAAAATTAAATTTGCTCKATCAAAAATTTTGCAAATTGAGTAAATAATACGAAGCTCCGTGGTTGCAGGATCAAGGAGAGGTATTTTGTATTTTTCATGTTTGGTCTGGCGCATGTTTTGATCAGGTTATGTAAGTTCTCCRAAGCTATCCTGTACAATATCATACGGTACATGTGACTAGGTGACCTGTCACTGTCACCTGTCCTTTCTATTGTATTTGTACGTACTATTCGTACGTACTATCCTAACACTCTATCTAATAGTAACTGTCAAGACTCACGACCTAGCAGTACACTACGTACGAGCACGTACGAGCACGTACTCTACTTCCGAGTAGGTACCAGGTACCCGTACGATCAGATATCAGATACCCACCATCACATTTTTGTTTCTRATGTGAGATCGATTTCTTTTTGAGCGATCTATTTTGACTTACCTGCATCAGCGAATTACAAACGGTAATACCTTGATGGTGAACACAATCTGTTCAAAAATTGTAAGGTTGAAGATTTCCATACCATCAATCGGGACACTGGATCAGGAGGATGTCTCAGCAAGTTTAGAATACTCAAGAGACTTGATTTCCATTGCACTGGGATTGCCATTCGTTGGAACTGAAGATTTCCATACCATCAATCGGGACACTGGATCAGGAGGATGTCTCAGCAAGTTTAGAATACTCAAGAGACTTGATTTCCATTGCACTGGGATTGCCATTCGTTGGAACTTGAACAGGGCGGGGCGACCAATTCAATATTTATCACAATCGGGCTGAGAAAGCTGTTGGTAGAAAAAAGTGGTTTCCKCTAAACCTTATTTTGACTCRTACAAAGAATTTTAGATTTAGATCCGAGGGGATTTTGTTCGCTTAGACCAGACCAATTTTTGTTACAGCTGAACGGAAGCTCTACATCCTTGGTTTTTTTGCAAACTGCATTCGCGAAAGAAAGAAATGCTCTAATTGAATTCAGGTCCCGGTTGCATTGCATTGGTTTGCGATTCGGTTGAAAAAACTAGAACTGAGTTTAATTGATGAATAGTACTTCGGTGAAATCGTTCCAACTGATTGATTGCACTATCATCGATAGATGTCGTCCTTGCTGAATAGCTAGCTAGTATATACGCAGAAAATCCAAGAATAGCCGGCTACGGCAATTWAATCGAAGGCAACGACGATGGATAGGATCTGAAGCGTCGCTACTACCTACAAGTTTTTGGTTTGTTCAAGCTGGTTCGGAGGAAAACGACTTCGTATTTCGTTGCAAGGATAAGGAAAGAATCCGTTAMTCAACCCATAATCTTTGCCGTTAGGGCACACCTTCTATAATGATTTTAKAATAGAAAGAGGTTTAGTTCAATCCTGTAGTGTAGCAACATATATTACAAGAATATCCCGTTATTCCCGGCCCTAATAAATATCGCGAGAGCGATCTAATGCATTCCAACTTAAACTCGATCCATCCCCGTGTTTGTTTTCGGAATGAYTCCGCTGCMTTTACGGTACACTTCCTCAGTGGAGAATCCCGTCATCGCCATCGACATCACAATCATTTTCGTGCTGTTCATCGCTGAAAGCACAAAGGTCTGCAAAACACGAGGCCCAGGTGGTGTTTAGAAGCTTGCGGAGGAGTCGCTTCGGGTGGTGGGAAGGGGCGGTATGCTGGCGGTTCGACTTCGAACCGTTACTAAGGTTGTGATAGGAGGTTGACAGCGAAGCTAGTGGGTCGTCGTAGAGGCACCTGGCCCTCGTGGGGTCCCCAACAAGGATGGTCCGGGTGCCATTCCCAAGCGCGAAGGGAACGGGACACACAAAAGAGGATGACAACGGATACTGCGGTGACGGTTCGGAGCAGTAACAGTGATGGTTTGATGAGTTGTCCGATTTGTTTGCTGATGACTTGTGGTGGTGCGTAGATGCTTCCCGRGGAGGCGAAAGGATCTGGATTCCCTCACTCYKGAGGATCTTCGAATTTGGGAACTCGTTCATTGTGACATGTACAAAGCGGGAGAGGGCCTCCCTGTCCAGGGAGTCAGAGAGGGCATCTGTCCGGTCGAAAAGGCAGCACCAAAAGAAGGAAATTGCCCCCGCCGAGACTTCTTCGTACTTGAACCAGGGGTATTGCGWAGAACAATGGTCCTTCTCGCCCCCGCTGTTTTTAYGTGTGCTGTTACTTTCCAGCAAGGTCTGGAACTTCGAAGTGATCTTGCGTTCCCAAATAGCCGATCGAACGTCATCGTTCGGTTCCAGGCCGGTGGTGGCCGCAGTGGTCGTTGTTGCAGTTTCCGTGGAAGGGGAAACCAGAGCCGCCCATCGTGTCTGTGTGTCRTCCGAGGTTCGGAGCAGCATGGTGAGCAGTCGTAAGGCTTGTGCCATCCATAGGGAAGACATGGCGTACTCGTCCCGATCCAGCCCGAGGTCTACAGCCGCAACAAGCTTCCTCCGYATCTGGTCCTTTTCCCTGTGCTGCTTCCGCTTTTGCTTCCGCCTGGCGTGGTGGTTCTTCTTTGTCGTAGTTGGTTCAAAGATACCGATGTTGAGAAGGCCTGTGGAGTGGCTAGCATCCCGGAAGTACGCAATTGCTTGGGGAGACAGAACCACCTCCATCAGCAGGTTCCAGATAGCCGGAAAGAGGCACACATGCTTGTGGGTGGAGTGCAGAAAACCATCGGTGGTTTTGTGGGAGGAGAGGATTGGTACCAGAATGGCGACGGCGTGAGCCTCGAGAAAGACAAGGTTGATGTCGCGGTAGGTGTTTTCRCGTTCTTTATTGCCGTATTGCTTTGTAGGGCTCTGTCCCACTGCCAGCAGCGACCGCAGCCAGCTCAGAATACGGATCGCCTCGAAGACACATTCGTGATCCGCCACATTAGTCTCGACATACTTGAGCAGCTCCGGMACAGACCGGGCCTGAAAATGTTCCCGATACGGCTCAACGATTTCCTCGTGGGTGCCCTCCGTGGTTGCCTCGATAACGCTCCAGGACTGTTTGACCGAGGCGAGGGCGTCCAGGACCTGCGTCCTAGGGGTGGTCGGTAAAGTAGCCTTGTCGAGAAGGTCMAGGGGGGAGTAGTAAAATCTAGGCTTGTACAATGCGTTGGCGTTTGCGTTTGCSTTGGCGGCAATGCGGTTATCGCCATTGGGTTCATTGAGGATGTTGCCGTTTTCGTGATSGTTTTCATTGTGGAACCAGTTGATGCTGACCTCCGAACAAGACGTCGCCGTGGACTCTGTGTTCGCGCTATCGTTCAGAGGATCACCGCCTTCTTCCACGACACTGTTGTTGAAGTACTCGTAGCCACTCCCATCGGTATTTTCCTCTGAGATCAAAGCGAGAGCAATCGATTTGACATCGTGGGCATCGACCCCGCAATCACTTCCGCCGCTGCAGCTTCGATTATGCTGGCTAYAGTGGTGGATGCTTCTGTTTTTKCTTCTGCTACTGCTTCTCGTACTCTCTCCATTTTTTGCTTTGTCTCGCMTGCTCCTCTTTTTGCTGTTACTATCGGAGCTGGCCCGGTGGAATGGAAGCATATCCTTCAACCCAAACATGCTGTTCCGTAAGAGTGTGAGAATTTGTGATATTAGTACCTATCAATCAATCAATCAATCAATTTATTGCACGACAAGGCAAGGCAATGGCAAATAAACTAGGACTAGGGCTGGAAATTTGCTTCCTTTCTTTATTTCTTGTGCAAAGGATTTTTTCTTTTCTCACAACTGGTAAAAACGTATTGAAGGGATAGTGCAAGCGAGAGGTGGAACAGAGCAAACAAMATCTCTCTTGAGCATCATACCGTACGGTACATGTACCGTAGGGTAKTTGTACTGCACAAGCACAGCAATAGCAATCCTTATCACTTCTTCATCGGCATGGAGGCAATGCAAACTTCCAGGTTTTGTTGAAAATTTAGTCTTTTGAAGAACTCGTTCAAAATGCTGTGCCAAGCGGCTAATCCTAAAAAGTGATTTTTGAATTTGAAAACAGGTGTTGTGAAGATCTTTCGCGGYATGATACGAACAGTATGTGCCACTAAATGGGGTTCGACTTTCTTGCTACGTCGGTCGCGGGAGCCAGTATTTCAAAATTCTAATTTCCCGCCCTCGATATCACGCCAATACTCTGCGCGCTGGATCAAAACAAAATCGCGCGATTTACCTATCTTTCGAGGTACTACCATACCAGGTACGTAGGAGTACGACCTGAAATTTATGGAATTCTGTAAAAAAAAATTAGCAAAAAGAAAATCATTGGGCGATTCCCGTTAATCTAGATGGTCTACTTTTTGACAGACAGACAGACAGACAGACAGACAGACAGACAGACAGACAGACCAAAAATAGACTTTCTAGTCCGAATTTTTAGACTTTCTGTCAACGCACAATCCACCCTTGACAGAAAGTCTAAATCTAGACCGGAATTTCCAACAATGAAAATCCGTTGTAGGACTCAACTGAAAAGACCCAACAAATTTAAGACTTAAAATTTTTTACTACGTAACTAAACCTTCTCTTAATCAGAAAGCGCCAAGAAAGAAGACAGCATGATAATCAAAGATGTCAAGATTCCAAATTCCTTTAAGACCAGAACGAGTGCCTAAAAATGTCTGTTGGGCCCTGTTTTAAATGATTCCTGTTAAACTAAAAAGTCTAAAAGGTCTACTTTTGATTTTTAGACCATCTAGATTAACGGGAATCGCCCATTGTTTGTCAAAAATATGTATCACTCTTACGACAGCATACTACTACTACATTACAAGTTGTTATGAATCTTCTTCATTGGTGATCACCAATAGATGGACTAGTATTGTTCAAACATGATATCCAACACCATTTTCTGTGGTGGAGAAATCACCATTTGGTATCCAAGTCAATACTACTACTAGTAGTAGTATTCCTCTTATACACCAGCACCAGGAGCACCACCACTTCTTGTAGTACGACTACTAGTACTACTAGTAGTAGTACTAGTACCACAACTAGTAGTGGTAGGAGGAGGAGTACTGGTGAGCCGCCCAGCACTAGTAGTACTAGTACCACGGTTTGGCTGGCCAACGCTATGATAATTTTTGTTCGTCACAACCATAATTGCACCACTTGTTTTAAACGCATGTGGCAGATAAAACACCCTTATATTCCTTTGCTATTGTGCCCACATTGTTGACCACTTTAACAAAATTTTGATTTTTCTTCATGGTGTCAATACATTAAATTGTGCATGTTCCGTGCACCAATTATTGTATAAATGTGGCTCCAAAATGTATGATAGAGTCATAGATTTTGGGTCCTYATTTTGTGTGTAATGACTAGTTTGACTAAAAACTGGCTTGTACTGCAGTTAACAGCTGGGCAGGTGCTAAATTTTATTCCCATCAGTTGTGTGACTGCAACCAAAATAGTTTTGCTTGCACATGCTCTGCTGTACCAGTAGTACAAGTCAAATTTTTAATCCCACAAGTCATTACAAAAAAAATGTAGCCCAAAATTGACGCATACTAGTAGCAAAATATGTAGAATGTTCACTAAGGGCCAACTCACTCAAACAGCTACTATAACTTGGTCCCCAGCCAATGAACGCTTAACAATGACAAGAAGCACATGAATGAAATCTCAGTAAAAAGACAAATTGTTCAGTGATAGTGGGGGTTATAGTGGGGGTTATAGGGGGTTATTGAGTATTTAAATATTACTGTACGTATAGTATCCAGAATTAAAAATGTACAATTAAATTGGCTATCTTTGAATTGCCACAGTTATACAATAATTCCATGAATGAAAAGTCSAAGACCCATAACAAACATAATATTTTGTCACTATCACATTGTGACCCCCCAAAAAAGACTCCTTTGTCAACTTTTYTACTATTGCCACCAATTCTTTTCTCCAGTCCCCTATAATCTACTACTTTCCAAACATAAATCTCATTAATGGAATATTACTCCCAATCTGTTTTATAGTACTACTAGTAAAATAAAGAATAGATTCTCAAAATGTGTTGTATACTACTACTTTTGAGTTCCAATTTTATTCTACTAGATCCTCTTCTTTTTCTATTGCTTGGAWGACTCTGGTGTAATACCCAATCCTCAACCAGAGAGGCTACTATCAATACTGGATCAATATAGCTCTGCTTCTTCCTTTTTGGCCTAGTACTACTGCTACCAGTAATAGTGGTACTATTACTGCTGCTAGATTTCTTGTAATTACTGCTCTCCTTCATGAACCTTGTTTCTCTGATTGTCATCTCAAAATACTCCATTCCTGTAGCAGGATCCTCATGTAGCTTGGCTGCTTTCTTGTATAATTCATTGAACAAGTCCTTTCCCTCTTCTATCTRACCATCTCTGTTGCTGCTCTCAGCATTGCAATAGTACCTTTTCTTTGAATGGCAGATCTCAGGATTTTTCTTCCTTTGCTTCTTCTGGTTCTCCCAAACATGGTATTCATTGAAGATCAATATTAAAGCAACAAATGCCTCATCAAAGACTGAGCAGATCTTGTTAAATCTTTGTCTTTCTGCTGTTGCTTCAAGTTACTTTTTGCTGGATTGATGACAGACAAGATCATGGTTGCAAAATCGTAGAACTCTTCATTCTCAACATCCTCCCATTTCCTGTAATCTGGATTTATGCTCCCCCACCCACTAAAGTCTGGGTCTTGTTCAACTACCCAAACAGTACCTGACTCTGTTCTTATCATAATCAGCTGTGGTAAGGTAGTAACAAATCATGGGCAACACTTGCATTAGTGCTGGGGGGAAATACTAGTACAAGAAGGACACCAAAAAGCAACATACCAAGCCAATTTTTGGAGCCAAGKTTTGTGTTCAATTATGTCTCAATGTGCCAACAAGTACACCAGTGGCCACCTTCTTCTTTCAAAATTCATAGAAAGCTATTGGGGTAATATCTTTTGGAATATTGACCCTTTCCATATCCACTGCCTTCTTAGTGATGCGAGCAGTACTAACTCATCTGTTGTTGACAGGGAACTTCACCTTGCTGTACCAGTACTTTTTTACAAAACTTTCCAGTTGCAGAAAGGCTTTCTACTACAACACCTTTGTTTATTCCTGGAGATACCAATATTACTAGTAGTAACTRTGTATCATCATACATGGTGCTAGTGTAAGGCCAATAAAACCACTAGAAAAAGGTATTTTCTGATATTAACCACATTGATTGTCCTCCCTGGTCACCAGCAACAAATGCAAAACCAATGACTAATACAAGAACAGTCAACATACCTATTTTTGGAGAAGTCTACTAARATACAAACATACTAGGCTAGCAATTATGTCACAAAACAGAGYCCCCATGAAGCCTAAACCTCTGTCAAAAATAGGTATTTTGGCCACTACTACAAGTACTACTATCTTGAAGCATTTGAAATACTATTCTTAAGGTTGTTCACTGATTTTCAACAGATAAGAATATGTGATGCTATTTTGTCCAAGACTTTTATTCCCAKAGAAGTATTTCACATACAGCAAAATGAATATTGCTGGTGCTTTATCAAACTGCTGTTTGAAGAAGCTGCTGGTGCTTGTGAGAGGAGTAACTGAAGTCAGGGAACAGGCTGTATCAGTTACCCTTCTCAATATCTAGATAACTGAAGGAAATCAGAACTACTTTTTAAGTCTGCATGTACTACTGCACTTCAGAAAACCAAAACCCAAAACTTTGAACAAAATGGATCTCAATGTTGAGYCATTCTTGTTGAGGAGCTCATTGTGATGTGGTATCATTGCTGGGTCCATCAAGAATCCACCTTCCTTGTTGGAAGAGTAGCAAAACAAATCTTCTTTCAATGCTTGGAACCAATCTACTAGCCCTGGTCATTGGGGTCAATGGCTGGGCCTAATGTTGGTGGTGAGTGCCATCAGGGAGATGAGCTCATCTTCATTGCAGCTAGTAGTATTACTAGTAGTAGTAGTTGCTGTTGATGATTTCTCTAACAAATATTGCCATGTGTGGGATAGCTACTACTACTGCTGTGCTCTCCTCATCACTCTCTGTCTCTCTCCTGTAACAGCAAAGAGAAGGAGGAGATAACATGTGGTAGTAGTGATGACTAGGAGCACTGTTTGTCTTGGCGTTCATTTTTGTGCTATGTGACATCTTTTCTAGTAGCAGGAGGAGGGATCATTTCTACTTCTGGTGCCATTCAGTCAGAGTCTCAAACTTTTCCCAGATCAGTCTTAGTAGTAAACAAGTAAAAGACTCAAAATTTTCTTTGCAGATTCTATCATTCTAATTCCTCCAGTAAATTTTGAAGAATGTGGGCCCAGAGGTCATTCTAAATATTCATGATCTAGAGCAGCAAGTTAATCTTATTTTTTGGTTTGTCTGACTTTCGTGACTTGTAATTAATTTTTTGGTTTTTCAGACTTTAGCAAGTATGGCCACATAAAGATGTCCTTACACACCCAAAGATGTATAGATCACCATGACACAGTGTAAGTTATAACCCAATATGTTGCCATTGAAATCCTTGGCTTGGCATTTGAGCATTGTAATTCCAGCAGAGCTGAAAAAATGTTTTGCTTGAATTACTATTACTGTACTAGTACTAGTACTAGTACTAGTACTAGTACTAGTACTACTACTAGTACTAGTACTACTACTACTACTACTGGTAGCACCAGTAGTAGCAGAAGAATTATTCTTTGACCCTATTCCACAAAGAAGAAAAGAGGAAGGGAATGAGGAAAAAAACATATCATCTAGTCTACAACATTTTTTCTAATTACTGTGTTGCATGGTCATTCACATTAAAATAATAGAAAGATTGTACTTATGTTATGTCTTTTTGGTTTATGTTAGCAGGTATAAACCAATTGGGCCATCCCCCGTAAGACCAAAAACTTGAAATACTAGTAGTATCATCAAATGAAAACTTAGTTTCTGGAGGAATAGGGTGGTGACTTCCTATGGCAAGCACCGTCAGTGTCCATTAGAAGAATTCAAGAATTCCTTCTAGAGGCTGCTGGTGGGATGAGATCCTATCTTTTTTACTACACTGTGCTGGAACAAAATCTGGAAAATGGTGATACATATCAAGGAGTACTAAAAAAGGAAAATGATGACAAATACTACTACTAGTAGTACCTAGTACTAGTGGAGTGGTGGAGAAAGTAGTAGAATCAAATGTTACTGAGCATTAAAACTAGAGATTGAAAATTTAGAATGATCAGATCTGCAATTCAGCACCACCAAACTTGATGAAAAATGGTATATTCCTTGCTATGTGTTACCAAATGGCATCATTTTCCAACAACAAGAGAAGATACACTGTGCTCTCTCTAACCAAAATACCAGTGGAAATCAAGGGAGGAGCATGCTCTAGTAGGTGTTTTCAGTAGTAGTGATCTCCCACACTGATGGTAGGAAATAATGTCTGTGATAACTGAAGTATCAACAATTTGCAGTTCACTGTATCTATCTGTAAACTGAATCTGACCTGTATCATACTATTGGTGGTGCTATGCTCTGCATTGCTGATCCTCAACTTTGAAAGGAACTGCTGGTAGTATTTATTGTAGGACTCAAACTTATCCAACAAGGCATCTGTGGCATCTTTGTCAGTCTCAGTCAGTGCATCATCATGTCCATCATAGCCATAGCCAAAGGTGTCCCAATTATTACTGTTGGGTGCAATGGAATTGCACAGGTCATGGCCATAGCTCTTCTAGTAGTAGAAGTAGTAGCAGTACTTGTAGCAAGTCTTGGGAGGGAGGATTGGGTTCTCTTTGGTCTTGGAAGGACCACCAATTGCAATAATGACTGAAGAATATTCAGCATTTCATGGGAGGAACTGGGTTCCCTTAAATTTTGTAGTAATGACTACTAGTAATGATACTGATTGAACATTCAAACTCTAGTAGTAGGGCTGTTCTCAAGAGAATTAGGTTCTATTTCATGTTTTTGAAATGACCAATGGTGGCAACCATGAATGAGAGCAATTTAGTTCTCTTTTATTTTGGAATGACCAATTACCACAATGACAGATTTTTTGAGTGATTGGTTCTCTTTCACTTTGGAATGGCCGATGACAACAAGAACAACCACGGTAATTTTTTTGTTGTGGGAGCAATTTGGTTTTCTAAAATCTTGAAATGACTGATGACGACAAAATCTTGGGAGCAATTTGGTTCTCTTAAATCTTAGAATGACTGATGAGGATGACAATGACTGATTTTTTGAGTATTTGGTTCTCTTAAATCTAGGAATGACCAATCGCAACATTGACTGAACATTGAGTCTTGGGAATCTTAAAATGACTGTTTCTCCAAGTGTTTCTACTAGTAGTATCTGGCCTCATACTGTAAAAAATGAATAACAACCTTGTCAAGAAGGAACAAATTTATTTGCAAARCATGGGATACTACTAAGGTTTACATGGATTCTACCCTAAAAAAACAAGTTTCTTTTTGTTTCTTTTGGAAGTCCAGAGCAGTGAGAATCATCAATGCTAGCTACTAGTAGCTCCTGTCCAATATTGTTTAAGAAATGTGATAGTCCAGTGCACCACTGTAGCCAATAGCCAATGTAGTGGACTGGAAGTCTCTAGTTTTACAATGAGAATGAGACAAAAACACGAAGAAATATGGCTGTCTTAATGCCTTTCTTGGTGCACCAGTAAGCTCTTTTCTTCAACAATGCTCCTGTGTACAGGAACACCAGCAGATTATTCAATAGAATACTAGTATTAACTCAACAAACCACTACTGCCAGCTACTACTACTATAGCAGCAGAACAACACACAAAGAAAGCTCCTCTCACATTAAGGAGACAGCATGTAACGTTCCATTTTTGATTTGGTTGTTTGGACAACAAAAGAACATATCACTATGATATTCAAATTAGAAAAAAGACAATCTCATAGAAATAAACAAGCAATTCATAGTGATGATGGAAGAACTTTCTAGTAACCCAACTTGTGATGGGGCTGTTTGATCTTGAAAGAGTTATAGAGTACTAGTATATTGGTGTTTTCACGTGTGAACTACTGGTACTAGAAGAAGTGTAATTACTACTAGGAGAGACAGGACCACTGGTAGTGGTAAGACCAATCATTTTTCCACTATTAGTATTAGTTGTAGTAGTACTATAGAGGACGAGTTGTGGTACCACCCACCAGTATAGTACTACAAAAAAACCCAGATGGGTTTCATGTAGAATATTTAACAAAAGAAGAAGACATTAGCAATGTATTCAACAAATGGTTCCACCAATAAGAAGCAACTAGTAAAGGAGCAAGTCACTTCCTCAGAAGTGAAATCTTCTTGGTACTATTAGTTACAGAGGATGAACAAGCATTTGCTTTCTTGATACTGATCCAAAATGAATACAATTTTTGGGAGAACCAGTAGCAGAGAAGCAAATGATTCTACCATTAAATGGAAGAAAAAGCGTGACATTAGTATCCTGATCGTGTCAAGAAATTTGTAGTAGGTACTATAGTAGAGCTGTTGTAAATGGAACCAAACATAAAAAAATACTCTTCCTCTGTGAGGAATAGATACTACTGCCCAACCTGTAGTTGTGCAATATTTTTTCAGTAGTAATAGTTGGTGGCAGTCCTGATGGCAATATATTTTGTAAAACAAGAACCAAATCTAGATGGTATGGGGCCCCTAGTGGTACTACTAGTAGTACTATTACAACTAAATAGCCCCAAGGCAGACCCAACTTTCTTCCAAGAAAACCAGCATTAGGACCAAATGTAGTACAGTAGCTATCCTCAAACCTTCCTGCAAGAAACAAGAAGTAAATCTGACCAGGTAAATTGGAACTGAACAACACAACACCTGTTGTTGCTGGTGTACAATTAGTAGTGCAAGCTATCTTTTCAACAATCCAGCAAGTCCTGAAGTACTACCATGGTTTCTGCTACTACTTGTTGTGTACCGTGGAGTGAAATGTTTCATCAAAATCCCTTCAAAAAACTAAATGTGTACCTTGATGTTGAATTGCTTCTTCACTCTAGTATACATATTTAGGCTAGTAATGACTTTGACGCCAACGATTTGTGTGGGACCAGAGAATTAGAAACAATAGAAACYACATCAACTTGGAAAATATTACGAAGTACATGCTACTAACTGTATCCAGGATGCGTATTGGTTCATATCAGTGTTTTAGCAGGTCTATCTCTTTCCTTCAGTAGCCGTACGACCCGCCCATTGAGGCGTGGTGAAACGAATCAAATGAAAGTAGTAATAATGAACTTTACATTTGAGAACATACGTTTGGTAGGTAGTAATTGGATTGTCAATAGCTAAAAACAGAGCAGATTAGTGGAAACATCAGAATATACAACAAAAATTCTATTTCGTTTAAGATGACCAAAAACATTGCTTCGCATCCATGCGTGCGGCTCCAGTGTCTGTTTCGGTTTGCTCTCTTTTCTACGACGGAGTTTCGAGGGCACAGATATGAGTAGTCACCTGTAACTACGGAATGGTCATTGAGTTTTTATCTCGGCTCTTTGAGGTTGCCAGACCGCTCGATATATTTGTTCGTTTGGTGGGCAGGTAGCRATACATGCATCCGCTGCGGCAATGCATATATGAATCCAGAGATTTCTGCCGAGACCACAACCGCCGCTTAYGCTACTRATGCTACGTACTCACAAAGAAGTGATCGAGCAACACGGACATGTGCCTCGAATCTACATAACGCCGGCTCAGCTCCTTGGTTTTGTCACACCGCTCGGTGTATTTGTTTGTTTGGTGGGCCGGTAGCGACGCATCGTCCGTAGCAAYGTACAAATGAAACCGTAGGTTTCCWCCGCAATTAAAGCCACTGCTGCGGCTGCCTASTGTAGAATACTCGCTCTCAAATGGCGTGGTTCGGAAGCCACCCCCGTGGATAGTGCTTGCCGGCAAGACCAACATCTTCCCGTAGGGTATAAACACGAGTTGGCCCTCGATCTCGATCGACCGGTCCTGGWGGGGGCAGGCGGTGGGCCATACCTGGAGAAACATGCCTTCCTCGGTGAGCGGGAAGAATCCGAGTTTCAGATGGCCKGGGCTCTGGTGGTCGCCRTCTCCGTGTTTTTCCAGAACCTCCCAGGGGTAATCGACGTGTGCCGGTTGCGGGATTGTGGATTTCGTTGCCAGGAAGGAACCTAGGTACTCGGCAACCTCCAAGGTGGTTTCCAGCGCCTCTTCGATTGCACGATTYGTACGGGGGGCAGGGTGCTCCGGGCCCTTCTCCCTCTGGACATGGTAACAGAGATTGTCGTTGAAATCGGCAACGGTTGACATGTTGTACAAATCGGGGGCGTGTTTTCTGTGTTGTATCATTTGAGTGGCAAAGAAAGGYGATACCGAATGGAGTCAGTCGACCAATTAGTCGGTTGCTTTCTCGCKTGTAAAAAGAATGCCAAGGATGGATAGATATAATGAAATCAAACGATAATAAAACGAAATCCAATCGTTGTCGARTGGAATCGAAACTTACCGTAATTCTTGGCACAGTTCTGACGAGACCMCAGACAACTGGCCCCCGAATTGCTCCAGCCATTCGCTGTGTTCTTYYTCGTCTCTGAGCACGATGATGCTAGACAACGAGTCRGATAACAACTCCTCAAYATGGATGGTTTCGTGGCCGTTTGGCACGGYAGTGGCAGAAGCATCGGATCGCACCATATTCTTCCACATGGCGCGAACCCGATCCCGGTCCGACAATTCTTTTGCTTCTAGCGGGGTTGCTTTGGAAGGAAGGAAGAAATTCGAAGCATCGAATTCGGGGTGGTAAAAGTCTTCGTCGAYGTTGTTATCGTTGGTTGGAAGATCGCGGTACCGACGCCTTGTAGCGTCGGAATCCCAGTGGTRGAGCACGTTTGGTGGCATATTGTTTGAATGTTAGAATCGCACGGTTGTAGTCGGCACGATCTGGAAGGAATGCTTCGTAGCACGTTTGGCTTTGTTGGTTAGTRTTAGTACCCTACTGATCTTGCAGAATTTAGTTTTTCAGGAATTTGGAATTGTGAACTTTCAGATGAAACTTTCTCGTCTTGCTCTTCTTCAGTATCGACGATTGGCAAGGTGGGAAGAGGAAAAAATAGGTTGCTTTCCAGAACGGTCGGAAGATGTGCAGGATGAGAACAGTTGGGGCACGAGTACGAGTGCGAATACACAGGTCAGTATGCACAATGCACATGCATGTACCGTATGCTAATTATCTTCTTCGAGAGGAAAGATACCTGAAGTACTCAGACCTGCTGGTAAATAGCAGTACGAGTTCGATTCGATAGCGAGTAMGAGTACTGCATCGTASGTACTCTTACTCGTATGAGTTCTTTTTGATTGGCGATCTTTTTTGATGTTGTTCTTTTTTTTGACACCACCGGTGAAAAACTTACCGTCTTCGATTGTTCTGCTTTTGACACGATGGTTCCGTCGGATTTTTCAAACGTGAACCTTCTGAACAATTATTTTTCGACTCGTTCGACTTCKGGAAGAACGGACGGACGAGAAGTCGGAATCTGGTTGATGGCTTCCCACGATGATGTGTTGTGAACGACAGCAAATCTTACGCTAGTTATGTTGCTGTGTCTGCAGCTGTGCATGGTACGTACACCATGCCGTAGTGTTGMACGACAACTCCAGGTTGTGAGTCACTSTTTTTTTTTTGATGACATCCGATTCGATACCTTGCTCTATCGTAGCACGACACCGTAGCGGACAGTACAGTACGTACGTTGGTGTTCGGACGAATGAAGAGCAGATKGGATAGCTAAAAATGGATAATAGCATTCGATTTCTTGTGCACTTGCGACTTCCTGAAGACCAACCTTTCCGACAGACCATCCTATCCCGTATATTATCGTATCAAACCCCAGCACCATGAAGTTTTCCTCMACGACTCTCCTTTGTGCTCTTTCGGTAGCGCCAGTAGCTGCCTTCACCAATCCCTCCACATGGWCTACCACCTGCCCAGCGACGACGACGAAAACATCACTCGAGGCCGAACGCAACAGCGGTATTCACAATGCCTTTTCGACCTTTTGTGCAACGGCTGCCATGASCGCCTTCCTGTGGGGATCTCCCGCRATGATCGCAGACCAGGCCACTTCTCACCAATTGCCCTTTGGCCTTAGCGAAACAGTCCAGCAACAYTTTGTAGCAGGTGCGAAGGACAAGGCTTCCGCCACCGGAAGCCGTGTCAACAAGGACGCGGAATCTTTGTTGCGACTGGGATTGCCGATCAATAGCAAGGAGGTAGGTGTGCATTCTTTTCTATTGGCGAAGAAGGCCGAATAATAGCTACAGGTGTTCTGATGTGTCATTTGAGCAACAGTCAAATGGGTGACTAAATTTTCGTATTTCACCTAYTTCATTTTTGGCTTTGGTGCCTCAACACCGGATTTTTTTATGTGCTTCCACACACTAACTACAACAGGTCCGAGAGCTGCAAACAAGCCTCGAGGGTATCAAGCAGGACATCGGATCYAAGCGAAAGGGTGCGGCGGCCGATGGRGCTAAGAAAGTTTCTTCGATTCTAGCCAGCAAGAAGGCCGACAAAATGGCGGCCGTTTGCAGGGACGGAAATTTTTGCAAGGAAACCATGAAACAAATCGACGATTTGATGGATCCACTCGAAAAGGCCATCAAGGCCAGCCAGGACGCGTTCACCGGATCGCTGGAGGAACGGGACGCTCTGGACAAGGCCTACAACGCACAAGTRAAGGCCGCCAAGCTGCTGACGGAGCTTGAGGAACAAATGGTCCCCAAGGGTTACAAAACMGAGGTGCCCGAGCAATATTCGGACCTTCCGCAGCTTCAACAGCGGGCGACGGTGGAGATGGTGATTAARAAGGGCGAGTCCGGTGCCCAATTCGATATCAATGGAGTCAATTTCCCCGAGGCTAGAATGAAGATGGTTATCGACGGTTACACATGTACGCTACAAAGAGTTGTTGGATACAAATATTGATTTTTTCTTTTTTGAAAAGATGTCTCTCACACGCACTTGTTTCTTGACGYAAYCCTTTAATACTTGAACAGCCCCRGTGACTGGCGGAAACTTCGTCGATCTTGTCAACAAGGGATTTTACGACAAYATGCCAATTCAGCGATCGGATGGGTTCGTGGTACAAACTGGTGAACCCGCTGGGGAAGCTGTCGGTTACACGGGGGGCAAGCCCAGTAAATCAATCGGGCAAGGGCCCAAGGGGGAGCGATTGATCCCCTGCGAAATCTCCATCGTCGGAGACAAGACTCCACTTTACGAGACCACCATCGAGGACGAGGGACGAGGTGGCGAGGCCACAATTTTGCCGTTTTCGGCTTACGGTGCAATGGGCTGGGCTCGAGACGAATACGATCCCAATTCAGGAAGCTCTCAGTTMTTTTGGTTGCTCTTCGATTCTGATCTTACTCCTGCGGGAAAGAATGTATTAGACGGTCGGTATCCATGCTTCGGTTATGTAGTAGAAGGAGCAGATTTCTTACAAGACGTYAAGGAAGGCGACGTGATTGTATCCGCAAAGGTCACTGAAGGCTTAAAGTATCTGAAAGATCCCAACTAAAATATGTGACGTTTCGTAATAGCATAAAAAGATGGGAATGATCGTGTTCCCGCGAACCTTATTCAGTTCAAAATACTTCGCTGTTTTCTGCTGTGTTGGTATCTCCTGCCAAGCAAGGCCCGTTTCCCCCAGCAGTCGGTTATATGGGAGCCATGTCCCCCCAATAGATGGCTAAGACATATCTGCGCGTTGGAAGCATGATGCAGTTGGCCTACTACTGCTAGATATAAGCTGCTGATTTTGTCACCATGATGGAACTTCAGGATCATTCCTGTATCAAAAATAATATAATTATTCTTCACTACTAGTATTGAATTTTTACGTCTGGGTGATGAAAGAATGACCTTGCCTTTCAAGACTTGTTTGAAGAAGCTCCTAGTACACAAGCTATTTGTTCTTTCTCAACTCGAATTTCTTTTCAGAAGAAAACCATTTGGACCCTCTGGCCTGATGAAGAAGTTTTCTGTATTTTGAAACTGACAGCTGCACTCCACCATCAGCTTGGTGCTAGTACTACTCGTAGTAGTAGCTTGATTTGCAAAAACGATTTCCTACTGATTTATAGAACAATTATGCATGCTAGTTCTAATAGCTGCTCTCCTGAATGTTCACCCCATAAATTGAAGCTACTGCCAGCAGCTGCAAGAACCACCAACAATAGCTTCATGATGGTAGTATTTTTCATTTTCTGCCTCCCCTACTAGTAGTAGAACAAATTTTATCCCCCACCAAGATAGATGGGAACTTCTTAGTATTAACTCAAGTACCGAACCACCAGTACATAAATTATTACATCTTCCATAAACCTGTTTCAAAGCTTGCTTGTTTGTGACATTCGCAAGTTATCCCATAACAAACACATTTGATCCACCAGAAAAAAAAACCGATATTGCAAGTTTTGCCCCCGAAATAAGGCTCCCATCAGAGTCCGGGTGTACATTCTTGTCCCCCCCCCTAAAAACTTTCCTCCCCCCAAGATATAGTCATTATTAATTTTTTCAAAGCGAGATTTTATGACAGGGCGTTGCGTACCGGTACGTACCCAACGTACTGGGACTCGTACCATAGTATCGTTTTGAAATGACCCCAACATTTATTTACGACATCCGTTAGATTTTTACGCAAACATTCTCGGACCGCGCCTTCTCGTTCCSTTGCTGTTGGATCCTTTGATGGAGGAAGTACGAGTATGAAACTTCACGACCAAAAAGGGCACGAGATGCAGCAGCACATAGCGGTTCATAAGAGACTCAAACATTTGATAGTACTCGTACTCTACCCAATCGGCTTGCACTGGAATAGCACTTACCACGGAGACAACGAAAAGGGCACCCATTCATTGCAATATCATCGAATATGGCCAGCGACGACTACGGAATCCAGCATTTTAACATCGGCGACACCTTGCGCCACAAAGGATTTTACGATGATTCCATCGCGGAACTCTTTCACGCAATGACTCTGCTTGAGACAAGGCTGGGAACTAAAAGCAAGGAGGTTGCGGCAACTAGTTACAGTCTCGGKCTGGCATACCGTGCCACAAAAGATTACAAACAGGCCTTGAAGCATCTCAACAGAGCACAAGAAGTTTATAAGRTCCAGAAAGGAGACAAGAGCGAATTTGCCGACAACATCAAGGATTGCAAACTAAATATTGCCCGAACACACCACAGCCGAGGYGTCATGTACCAGCGAAACGGAGACTACAACCTTTCGGTTTCCGAACACCGCAAAGCAATTGCCATCAGGGAAGCCTTGCTCGGTCGATCGCACCTGGAGACGGCACGAAGTTATTACGTGTTGGGCTGTGCTCTGAGCGACCGCGGAGACTTCGACGAAGCCCTTGGCGATTTGCGCAGGGCGCTTCGAATCAGGCTCAAGGTTTTTGGAAAGGATCACAYCGACGTGGTGGAGGTCGCCTCGAACATTGCCACGGTGATGGCCGCCAAAGGTGTTGATGCAGAATCCGTTGACGAATACAAGATGGTCGTTATTCGATCATTGGAATACGAAACCGAAGGAGATATCATGAGTCGAAAGGGTGACCTAGACGATGCAATTATCCTGTAYAAAAARGCGCTGTCGTTGGAAATTCAGTACCTTGGGGACTTGCACCCTACAACTTGTGATTTATACCTTCGAATGGCGGTAAGTTACGATTCATCCAAAACGTGATACACCCTGTCCGGTTGCATGTTTGTAAATCTCACCCTTATTTCTCACGATGGTTTCGAAATGATCTGTGSGACTCACAGGATGCCTTGAGTGAGTCGGGTGATCTGGAAGGGAGCTTGGTTGAGTACAAATCGGCAATCACCATCTACGAGCGCATCATGGGGAAATTCCACGTCAAAATGGCCAACATCTACACGAGGCTCGCCGGCGTTTTGATGGACAAGGGAGAATACGAGACCGCGTTGTCGTTTTACGCCAAGGCGTACGGTATTTTTGACGGAACGCTCGGACTCCACGACGACACCAAACAAGCMCTGATGAACGTGAAGCTCGCAGCCGAGAAAAATCGCGCCGCCGTCACCTCGATGGAGATTCTTGTCAAGGCCGAGGAAGAGTTCAAAAAGCGCCACCCGGAGCTCACGGCGAGCGTAGCATCGGAATCCGAYGAGGACGGAGAGGACGACGAAAATRGATCAGACGACGAGAAGAAGAAAAAGAAGAAGAAGAARAAAAAGAAGAAGAAAAAGAGCAAAGACATCGACGTCGACAACGGCGACGAAGAAGAAATGGATATTATCTAACAGGAGTGCGGAACAAAAATGCAATATCAGTCGTCGCATACTGAACATCTCTACAGGGATGAATCGTGTGTTCCTAGATCAGTTTCTCTCGTTTCCGTATGTAGGTATAGCGAAGAACAAACAATAAGTGAAAACGTGCCACAATTTTTWAAAAATATACCCTTAGCTCGCGTCCGATTGTGATTTTATGGTTTGTCGGCATGTTTTGTTGTTAAAACAAKGAGAACTGCACTTTTGCGATTCTCTTGAGAGCCAAGCTCGCCAGCTATTCCYACTCGAATTGGTTCAAAAAGTCGAAATCAAAACCGTGGTTCGATCCACTCGACCCCATCCATCCATCCATTGCAACCAATGGAACGGCGACGTTTTCGTTCGAACCACCACGGCCCAGCGATGGATTGCGTTTGGCGCCGCAGTCAA